TAATTTCATCGTCTTTAATCTGTACAAAAAGTATTTCCGAAGACCTTGAGAAATTGAGGTTAGCCGAACATTTTGAAACTAATTTTGACGTTTCCCGGAGACTCGAACCATCTATCAACGCACCGGCGCGAACTGATATACGGGGGAGGTTCGAAAATGTTCAGCGGCGAAATGATAATAACTTCCCAAAAAATAGGTATACCGACAGGAAAATCAATTGCATTTCCGATCAGCAACCACTCTCTGACATCGAAGAACCTGTTTCGGAAAACTTCTAGGTCCTCGGTTTTCGGGTTCAGCCGCAGGATCTTCTTTTAGTCGGACCCCCGATTTTCAACACACGAATCTCAACTCTAATACTCCAACTATATTGGTGGATATTTTGGGTTGCAAATTTCCTGCCTTGTTGGACACGGGGAGCGAAATATGCGCATTTTCCGACTTAGTGTGGAGCACCATCACACGGGATAACTCCGTCCCCGTATTTCCGGTAACTGGCGTGAGGGTTTCTGGCGCTTTCAAAGATAAACAGAGAAAAATTACGCACCAGACAATGTTACCGTTTACAATTGCGCGGGAAAAATTTGAATTTGAATTTTTATACGTGCCCGACCTCGTCTTCCCATGGTCTTAGGATGCGATTTTCTCCGAACAGTGGATGCGGTGCTAGATCTCCATAATAAATGCGTGCATTTGAATTCCGACAATAAATTATTTAAGGTTTCTGAAATTTCTTGCCCAGAAATTCCTTTGTCAACCTCAGTCTCGCTGAGGATCCTCCTTAATAATCGCCATCCTAGTATTTTGGCCATCAGCAATGTTCATCCCTCGCCCGATTTTTATAAGATAGCCTCCACTTTAAATCTGCCCCACCAGGATAAACTTAAGTTTCAGAGTTTGTTGAATAAATTTAAAGGCATTTTTTCGGATATGCCTGGGCGTACTTCGGAGTATTTTCACGAGATTTTACTTAAAGATACTTCCCCATTTTTTAAAAAACAGTACCCCATTCCTCATGCACATCGTGCAGCTGTACAGGAGGAAATTAATAAAATGCTTAAATGGGGTGTTATTGAGCGAGCTACCACCGCTCCTTATTGTAGTCCATTGGTAACGGCGGTGAAAAAGGATGGAACCGTCCGAGTCTGCCTAGATGCTAGGTTTTTAAATAAACGTATGCTTCCTGATTCCGAGCTGCCGCGTCCCATTGAGGACGTTTTAAAGACTTTGCCTTCTATCAGGTATATGTCCACTGTAGACCTGACACACTCTTACTTCCAAATCCCCCTCAAACCTGAGGATAAAAAGTATACCGGTTTTCTTCACGGGACCCAGTCCTATCGTTTTACTGTCCTACCGTTTGGACTTAAGACAGCAATCTCATAATTTACCCGCGCTATGGACATTATTCTAGGACCAGAATTTCGGGAATTTTTAGTTTCTTATGTGGACGATCTGATCATCATTTCGGAAACACTTCAGGACCACCTTAAACATCTTGATAAAGTTTTCTCCCGATTGTCTCAAGCTGGTTTTACTCTCCGTCTAAAAAATTGTCAGTTTTTGAAGACTTCTATGACTCTTCTTGGTTATCAAATTGATTCCAAGGGAATTAAGCCAGATCTGTCTAGGGTACAGGCCATAACAGATTTTCCCAAGCCTAATAACCCTAAACAAGTGCAAGCATTTTTAGGTTTGTGCAATTACGACCGTGCTTTTTGTCAACATTTTTCGGCTATAGCCGAGCCACTATTTAGTCTTTTGAGGAAAAAATCCAAATGGAAATGGAGCGACAGCGAGCAAATTTCTTTTGACAAGTTAAAAGAAAGCCTCGCCAAAAATGTCCTTTTGCATCACCCTGTGCACGGTGCCCCTTTTTGCGTCCAGACGGACAGTTCTGATTTTGGTTTGGGGGCACAACTTTTCCAAGAAGTTGATGGAGAAAAACGGGTAATAGCCTACGCAAGCCGTCTTCTTTTGTATAGAGAGCGCGCTTATAGCATCCCTGAAAAGGAAGCCTTAGCAGTTGTTTTGGCTTTGAATAAGTGGCGCGTTTATTTGCTGGGAGCAAAGTTTTTCATACTTACCGATCATAAGGCCCACTCTTATTTAAATAGTTGCCGCCTTTTAGCACCTCGCATCACTCGTTGGATTTTAGCCCTACAGGAATATGATTTTGATATCAGATACATTCCTGGCAAGGACAACGTCGTACCTGACATTCTATCTCGCCATCCGCCTTTGCGTCCTCCTGTCCCTTCGAATAAATGTTTTCAAATCTTATCCACGTCCATTACCCTATCTAAACATTTTTGTGGCAAACTGGATTCTCTCATTGAAGCCCAAAAAGCAGACCCCAAATTGTCGGTTATTAGGACCTCCTTACAAGACGAGACTGTGGTCATTAGTAATTTTGTCCTATATAATGATGTCTTATTTATGCGGCGTTCCGAAGAGCAGCCGTGCTTATTATGCGTCCCTCAAACTCTACTCGACGACTTTATTCTGGCATTTCATGAAGCCCTAGGTCATTTTGGGGTTTATAAAACTTGGTCAGCCCTGAAGCGTGAAATTTGGTCGCAGAATCTTCATCGTGAGGTAAAACGAGTCTTAAAATCCTGTGATCTGTGTCAAAAATCCAAGACCACTGAAATGCCCAGACCGGTTTTCGGTTCGATAATCCCCTCTCATACAAACGAACTGTTGTCCGTTGATTTTTATGGCCCCCTACCGAGATCCCGAGGAGGCGTAACATTTCTCTTCGTGGTGCTGGACGTTTTTTCAAAGTATATTACTTTATATCCTTTAAAGAAGGCTACGTCAATAAGTGTTATTAACTCCTTAAAAAATGACTATTTTGAGAAATACGGTAAACCGGTTATAATACACTCTGATCATGGTACTCAATTTATCTCTAAGCAATGGCTTAAATTTTGTAGAGACCACGATATCAAGGTCTCTCACAGTTCTGTCCGACACCCGGAGGCCAACCCGGTCGAGCGTTATATGCGGAAACTGGGGCGACTCTTTAGAACGTATTGCCATTCGAAACACTCTAAGTGGGCCATAGAGGTGCCCACCTTTGCCCAAATTATGAACTCAGTTGTTCATGAAAGCACGGGTTTCACTCCAAAGGAATTACAGACGGGTTCCCCATCTGAAGTTTTATTGGGCTCCATCATAGATTTCCCAGAATGTCCAGCAAACCTGAGTTCGCACATTAAGTTATTCCTGGCTAAAACTTCTTTAGCTTCCAAAGCTGCAAGGCGGGCGAGGCTCAAAACCGCCCGCGATATGTTCCTTTTGCCGTGGGAGACCTGGTTCTTCTTAAGGCCAACCCAGTTTCTTCAGCATTAACTTCTGAAACTAAAAAGTTTATGTTATTATTTGAGGGTCCGTATAAAATTAAAAGGGATATTGCGCCTGCCACCTTTATCCTCGAAAATCCTCAAACTAAAGCCGAACGTGGTATGTTTCATGCCACGCATTTAAAGCGGTATTTTTTACCTTCGAATCCCTAGTTCGGGTCTTCTAAGGTCGGGGGCAGATGTAGAGAAACGGTTTTGATCCGCAGGTAGGCAACCAACATTACTTTTAGTTCCCCCAACGACATTTTGTTTTTTATTAGCCAGGGTGCAAAAAATCTCGCCATTAGCATTTTCACTTAAATGTCGCAACGTGCGAACCTTAAAAGGTGCCTAAGTTTTGTTTAAATAACCATTTGTTATTTTAACCATAGTTAAACCACGGCCCCGGTCGTATTTTTGTAGGTAAGTTAATTTATTTTGTATATTTATTAAAGTTTTAATCTGTGCTTACCTTGTTCGCTTTGTGTCGTACCTCCACATTCGTATTTATTTAATCGTTGTGTATAATTTGGGTTTTTAAATTATTTATTCTTGTATTTTTGTAGATATTTATTGTAAGAAATTTACACTGATTCCACACTGGCGTGGTGTGCGCAGAATATAAATCATTTCCCAGTGCGCCTCTTGTATTATTTTAAAACTCTCGAAACACAACACACCCTGAGAACAGCTGGACTAGCCACCCAGCAATCACAGCCCTCTTGCACATCGAGTTTTACTCTAAATCTGCTGTTCCGCTACAGTACACTTAAATTTTCAACACATTTAATTTCTACAGTATAATCTAGATCTTTTTTCACAAACATAACAACTCCATCCGCTCTATTAATTTTACTATTATTAAAATGTACATCATAACCGTTTAAAATGAAAGTGTTTAGACAAGTTATATTCCAAGATTCAGTACATACAATTACCTGAGGTTTATTAGCAAATCTATCAATAAAGGTTTCGAGTTTATTAATATTTGAGTTAAGACTCTGTACATTAACACATAGTATTATACACTTTTTAGCTTCTAATACTTTATTGATAGATTCTACATTCTTAAATTCCCTCTCTATGATAAAACAATCCTCTTCAGATAAGACTTCTTCACCCATTGGATACTAAGTATTAATTGTATAGTTGATTTTTGACCTCAAGTAAACCAGTCTTGCATTGTATGTCTCACATTTTTTGTGATCACTTGCTTTATGTTGTACATTTCTATTTGCTTTAAATTTATGGTTTGCATCAAGGCAGTTGCAGCAGGTTAATTGTTCTTTATTTTGGCAAGTTTTACTTTCGTGTTCACCAGCACAGTACATGCAGCGAATTTTATTATTGCACTTTTTGGAACTATGGCCATAGCCAGAACACTTAAAACACCTGTTCGTATTCAAATCTTCAAAAACTAAGCATCTTTGCCACCCAACAAAGATTTTACCTGTCGACATGATTATATGAAAGTATTCTGGGTCCAATTGTACATAAGCATTATAAGTAGTGTCTGTTTGTATTTCACTGTTCTCCATAATACCATTAACTGTTATAGTCTTATTCCCAACTTGTTGAACATACGTAATTTTTAAGTACTTCTCCTTCTCCATAAAATTTTTTGCCATTATGTCTTGCTCCAGTTTTTTAATTTCATATTTGTATTCCAACTATCTTGATTTTAGGCATCTCGAATTTTTCTACGTTAGTTTCATACTTATTTTCCATAGTGTCGTGGATCTCGTTTTTTAGTTTTTCAGTTCCATCCTCATTACAGCATATGACCTTTATTCTGCCTTCATTCATTTTCTTTACTGAAATTACTTTTACTTTCAATGATTCAAGGTCAATATTGTTTACAATATCACTTTTGGTTTTTTCAGCTGTTTGGGTTTCTTTAGGCGTAATTATAATAGACTGTGTAGTATTTACATTTCCTAGGTATTTATATTTTGTGTTATTTGATGTAACCTGAGCATATGTACTGGTCAGCCCTGCTTCAATTTTTTTACACTTTGCATTAAGTTCGGCATTTTTTTCATTTAGATATTCATTTTTTTCCACTAATAGGCCGTTCTTATCTTTGATTTCACTCACTAAGTCATTAAGGATTTCAATTTCCCTTTTATGCTTCAGTGCGCTTTCTTTCAGTTCGGCATTCTTTTGGCTATAGTCCTCGACTTTTTTCTTAAGCTCGGTATTATCTACACTCAGTTTTTTAGCCATAGCTTCATATCTGTTTAATTTATTATTCACTTTTGCAAGTAAATAAATGTCTTTGCTTTTGGGATCACAACTTGGAGAGGTTATGTTTTCTTCACACTGCACACAGATTCCTAACACTCTACCAAAACTCTTGAAACCCTTTCTTTCAGCACAACTTAGATGCAGCAACGTATCACATAACATGCACACACATATTTTTGCTTCTGGTTTTTGTTTACAACAATCATATAATACAGGAGCTGGCGCAACACGAGCATCTACGTCCGGCATATCACATATTCATTAACAGCGCCCAAGTTCAAGAATTCAAAAAATATTGTTACAAGCCATCTAAAAGACTTGCGCGACATTGAATCAAAAAGGTCGTCAACAGTGTCAACGCCCCCTTTCGTGGAATTAATGTATTTTATTATTTCGGGTTTTTATTTTCATCTTCCTCAATAGTAGCATTATGGTGCATACTCGACACTATAAGTACTAATTTATCTCTTTTCAGTTTGTAAGATAAGATTGTAATATTATTCGTGAATCCAAATTTGGTTGAATTTATCTTTTTTTCACAATCAAAAACTCTGGTAGAATTTCGCGTTTAGTTCCAACGCAAGTCATTTGAAAATTTTTCAATAAATCTTTTACTAAATCAATACCTACAAACCAGTTGTCGACTGTAAGGTTTCTGCCTGCATAGTCTAAAGGATAAATAAGCCACTTGACAATAGATGCTGCATGGTTTTGGTAATTTGTAAAGACCTTGCGGCTGCTCACCACAATAAATTTCAAAATTTGAAGTATAAAACGTTTTAGAGTCTGTTGCCAAAAATATTTGTATCCCGTATTTGGCAGGTTTACTTTTATTATATTGCCTAAACCCACATCGACCTCTAAATGGCTCTAATTTTTCGTCAATTGTAATACTTTTACCCAAAATGTAATTTTTTTGTAAGTTAGACCCAAAAATTTCTGAAATTTTTCTAATTGGTGCCAGCCTCAATTTTACATCCATCACTGGTGTCATGGATGTCATCAAAACGAAGACCTCTAAGCAAAAACAAAAATCTTTTTCTTGAAATAGTAGCTATGAATAAGTCAATTCCGGTTCCATCCTTTGCCCATAAATCTTTAGTATTTAGCCTTGCAGACTTTAGTACGCCAGAATAATACAAAAGACCAAATAAAGCTTTGATCTCTCGTATATTGGTTTATAAGTGCATCTCTAAAGAACTTTTGCTTTTTTACTTCAATAAAAATATTTGTACATTTAACAACAATTTCTATTATATTTTCAGTAATAAAGCAATTCCACGCTTCTATTGTGTCTTGATGTTTTTAGCAGTGCTATTGGGCCTAGGTTCCTGCATAAATAATATTACTGGCTCTAGTTCTTCTATAGACAGGTGACGTTTGTCCCATTTCGAGGTTTTGTCTCTTTCCAAATAATATCCCACTTGTGACAAAGGCAACTCGTCGTCTGAGTAATATAAATTTTGCTGGGTTAAATTATTTTGATTTGTAATGGTCTCAATAATATTGGGGTCACTGTCCAAACCGGAAATTTTAGGATCAGTTTCGTGATTGCTTTCTTCAAAAAAATCCTTTTCAGAACTATCTCTTTCTGAAATAATATCTTTAATATCCTCATTTTCAGATAATTCGTTTGCAATATTTTCTCATTCCTTCATTGTTAAAGGACGTTTATTATCAAATGTTGATCTTAATGCCATTATGCTCTAAAATGTATGTAAAACTGAAAAGGTGCACCAAAAAATATCAATTCCTTTCAACTGCCTTTAGTGGCTCTAGACGGCGCACAGTGGTCCAAAAGCCCAAAAACATGGTCAAAATATGAAGGTTTAGTTATATGTTTACCAAAACAGGGACTTAAACATTTTTGGGGTCACTGATTACGAATTTGATATCCTTTTTTACAAAAACAAAATGGTGGATCTAATATGGAGGACATTTTTTTAACAAATATTCTGATATCGCTTAAATTTGACAACGTGTGGTTTTTGAGGTCGCTAATTGCGAATTTTATATTTATTTTTTGAAAAACAAAATGGCGGACCATTATGGAGGACATTTTTTTTCAAAAAAAATTTCTGATATCGCTTAAATTTAGCAACCCGTGTTTTATGGTTTGCGTTTATCGTTTAATGTTGACTACTTTATTGTTTCAATGTACTTAGTTATTAATCTATGATGAAAAAGCATTGTAATAATCACCAATACATAATATTAATGTACAAAAAATTGACGACAGCAGTTTATTAATTTTACGCACAGTTTTTCTTTCTGTGTTGAATAGTAAAAATATATCTAATAATAACAATAATAATAATGTAACTGATAAAAACTTAAATATAATTCATTTAAAAATTCTTAATAATAAACAGGAAGAAGTAGAACTTTTTCTGGAAAATAAAAAACCAGACCTTGTATGGTTTTCGGAGCATTGGATGTCAAAAGAAGCCATACATTACAAAAAAATTTACAGCTACCATCTCATTTCTTAATTTTGTCGAACCAGCTTTATTCATGAAGGTCCTATCAAAAGAAAAAAATTGTGAGTGTTGTGCTATAAAGTGCTTGGATTATAATATTATTGTCTGTGTATACCGGTCACCAACGGCTGATTTTTCGGAGTTTTGACTATATATATTCTTTTAAATTTAATCACAAGAAATAATGAATCCATTATAGTTCTTGGTGATTTTAATATCAATTTTTTGAATAACGATTGTGCATTTAGGCAAAATCTTTTTAATTTAACATTTAGTTTTAACTTAAAATGAACAATTAATGAGCCTACAAGACTAACAAATATTTCAAGTACACAAATCGATAATATATTTACAAACATTCATTTGTCCCATTTTACCTTTTCAGTAATTAAATCGAATCTTTTAGATCACTTTGCTATTAAGTTCTGTTTTAAATATATTGATAAAAAAGAAACTACATGTATGCATTTTAAAAGGATATATTCGGAACAAAATAATAATGATTTTGTCAACCAATTGTCTATGCTTCATTGGAATGTTGTTAAGAATTGTGAAGACCCTAATATTTCTTTTGATTCTTTTCACCATGATCTTAAAACCAAATTTGATATTTTTTTTCTAAAATATTTTATAAAAATAAAGGAAATTCGGCAAAACAATAAAATTAAACAAATTTCACAATTAAAAAGAGAAATGCATCAAAATTTAATAAATTGTAAAAGTAATAATATTTATCCTTTTCAAAAAAATAATTTTTAGAACTTTAAAATTTGAACTAAAAAAAGCTAAACTCCAATATAATATAAAACTTATAGAAAATGCTCCAAACAAACAGCAACAAATGTGGAGACTAATAAATAAAAACAAAACTTTAGTTTCTAAACCAAAAAACATTATTTTAAAGAAAGAAAACACTGTTATTGATAATCCATTGAAAGTTGCTAATGAATTTAATTTATTTTTTGCTAATATATCTGACACTCTAAATTTGCCATCTCCAAAACTTAACGCCAACAACATTACACGCATTAACTCAAAAATGTTTTTATACCCCTCAAATGCTGTTGAAGTGTATAACATAAATAATTTAAAAAATGAAAAATCCACTGGTTGGGATGAAATTCCAACAACTATTATTAAAAGATGCGCACATATAATAGCATAGTCTAGGATAGTCTAAAGTTGGCTATTGTCAGGGTTTTTCATAAAAAAAGGTCCTGAAACTAATGTTAGTAACTATAGACCTATTTCTTTATTACCTATTTTTTTCAAAATTTTTAGAAATATCAATATCTACAAGATTAATAAAATATTGTAATAAACATTCCATAATTTCTAAACATCGATATGGTTTTGTTAAAGATAGTAATAGGGAATTAGCAATTTTCAATTTTATTGATAGAATCATGGACCTTTGGAAGAGCAAAACCCTGGCAGTATCTGCCTTTTTTGACTTATCTAAAGCCTTTGATACTATGGATAAGGAACTATTGAAGTTAAAATTAGAAAGATATGGCATAAGAGGTACAGTGCTAAGGCTGTTTGAATCATATCTGATCAACCGAAAATAAATAGTGAAAATATAGTTAGAAAATGGTTTGGAATTCTCTTCCAATACAGTGTAGTACAAATATTTCAGTGGTTTCAAGACAACGGCCTCAAGTTAAATGTAGGTTAAGTACCTCAATTAAATTTTTAGGCGTTACTTTGAACAATAAATTGTTATGGAAAAATTAAACAGATAATGTTATAAAGAAAATCAATAAGTATCTTTACTTACACCTTAATTTAAGACTTTTGTTCCAGAAGTGGAACTATTAAATATATATTATGCTTTTGTTTATTTTAACTTAAAATATGGAATAATTTTTTGAGGGAACTCATCCCTCAAATTTGTTTACTTTTCAGAAAAAAATTATAAGATGTATTTTTAATTTGGAATTGTAAGCAAATTTAAAAAACAAAACTTACTTACACTACTAGATATATATATATATATATATATATATATATATATATATATATGCATTTGTATCGTTTCTGCCTCCGTACAAATGTGGGGCGTCCACACCTCCACTAGAAGGGGTAAAATATTCCGTGTATATAAAAGACTTTCAGGAGGACAACACGCCACAAGTTAAGGGCAAAGTGGGAGGGGTAAAAAAATCAACTGTCTATTTTATACAAAATTAAAAATATATTTAGTACGTTTACAACTCCTTATATAAATGGTACGCAATCGACTCATTGTATATAAATGTGTTAAATGTAGCGGTTGATATCGCCTCCACCGACGTTGCCACGCTGTGCTTTGTCACCTGATTTAAAATTTTAATTCTTATAAGCATTTATCGTGGTACGGTTGTATTTCAGACCATCATAGTGCAATAATAAACTTTAATTGGTGGATAAATCATCATGAAGAGGGCTGCCAAGTCGCGGTAAGTTATAACAGTATTTAGAGCTTAGAGTTAAAGCGCGTTCATTTCAGGAATCGTACAAGTTTACAGCTCCCCTTAATTTTTTTCTGTACCGCACTTAAAATATGAAAATTCTAATTAAACTATCATTACACAGCAAACGGAAAAATATAGAACTGTATAGGATGACTCCCTGTTTTTATACTAAATCTTAAAGTTTTATCATAACTGTATTGAATCGTGCTTTGTTTTTATATTTTTC